GGAGCCAGGTGAAAGTCCTGAACTCCAGCAGACTTTCCTAACAGTGCTCCTACACTCTCACCTTTATAACTGAGGATTGACTGGATGAACATAGCATGCTGGGTTTTGTTGAAAAGCTGCATGAATGTAATTCTTGTAATCACGAGAATATCCATAAATATTTACTATTTTTATATACGTAGAGATCCTATAAAATAATTTTTTAACAAATTATATTTGCAGTAATTTTGTATTATATAGAAAGGCTAACATTGTTTATTATGATGACGTAAGTTTCCAGAATTTTTATATATTTTTATCTGATATCCAACAAAGTTGAGAAATGAGATCAGATGAGACGGGGGTTGACTAAATAAATGTTCCAGACTGGGATTTTTTTTTTTAATGTGAATATACTAATAAGGACCAGACCATCCTTCTGGCAGATGTTAAACCCCAGGATCCATTTTTCAAATGAAATGGGGTTTGATTTGAGATGATGTGGGGCCTGTTCTTCTGGCTTTGGTTTTTCCTGATGTTGATGGGATACGATCCCAGTGAAACGTCTGGGAATCTTGCTGTAAAATCCAGCTTTAGGTATTTCAAGGTAGCAACTCAAACACAGAAGCTGACCATGAAAAATTTGACCTTTATTATTTAGGACTGTGGTTCACATTTGACTGTGACGATTGGTCACTAGCAAATTAGAGAAAGATACAAACATTGTATTGGATACCGTGGTGATAGTTTGACTTTCTAGCTGTGTCTCCACACACAAGTCTACTAGCTTGTTGTTTAAATCCAGAGGCCAGCAGAATTACTTACTATTCTTTTTATATCCCAATGCTCATAATGTGGTGTTGCAATATCCAGGTAAAAATGTTCAATGCCATTTACAACAAGGAATCTGCCTTAAGCAATACTGTAATCAGTAACAACTAATGTTACTGAGAGCAACAGCTTCTGCAAATGCCTTACCACCAGAAGTTAACCAAGGTACAGATATGATTGTGTTCCAAACTAAATAAAGGCAGACAAGCGAGAAGAATATAAGTTTAATTGGAAAAGTTGATCTTACAGAATGTTCTGTGTGATCAACAACGGCTGCTTCTGTCTCAGTAATAACGATGATTAGAGGGACAAATGATGTTAGTGGGTACTTGTTTAAATAGAGGGTTTCTGCAGCATGAGAAAAATTATTTTCCAATTCAAAAGCATTCACTGAAGAAAGGACGGTTTCATTTTTTCACAGGTTAGCTAGCCTTCTCTCTTTGCTCATGCTTTTTGCTGATGTATGTAGATTTTCTTTAAATAGATGAGAAATTTATACATATTTATTTTTATATATTTATATATATATATATATTTCAAAAACTCAAAACAGACAACATCTGACTACTTCCCTTGGAAATTCTGACATCAAATATAAATTACTAAATATTGCAGAGTGCAAACCTAAACATATATTGTTTGAGATTTTGTCACTTCGTTTTTTTTGAGCAGGGGACAAAACTTCTGAATTGTAGTAGTTTGCTAAACTACCAAGTTGTTTAAACGACATGTCAGGCAAGACTTTTTACCTCTGCATTTTTTCACCTTTGTTTGTCAATAAATGCTTGTAGCAAATGAGAGGAAAAATACACTGCTTTTAGTTTTACTTCCCTTGCATTTATTATTATACCTTGAGCAGTTCCAAATAGTGGCAGTGCAGAGGAATATGGCATAAAATCATAATAAGGAGGACATTAAAAATGAACACTCTCTGCTTTATAATAGATACATCTAGGCATAGGTGTGAATGAACACTGATTCATTTATACTATTCTTAAATGGAAAAGTCTTAAGTTTACAAGATAAACAGCATGTCACACTGCATTTAGTAGATGTTGGCTCACTACCTTTAAGAAAATGGAGAGCAGTGGTCCCTTTGACATCCCTGCAGAAAATTAGATCTTTCCAGAAAGGTAAGGCAAGCACATAACTATAGGAGAATGGACAGTTAAAAACTTTAATATTGTATTTAATTTTTTTTTATTAGTTTATCTCAGTCTTAACAAAATTAAAATATTTTTTCTTCTAAATGCCCATGTTTAATTCTATCGGTATATACTTTAAAAAAACTAAAAGAGCCTAAGGATAACCCAATCTCAGGCATTCAAATGTTACAAGGGCCTTATGTGCTTACTACTTGTGTAAAATTACCACTAACTATAGTAAATAGTGGTACATGTTGGCTAAGATTCAGTTGCTGAATAAATAGCATTTAGAGTTACTTTTTTCCCCCATTACTGTTATGTCATGTATGGAGAGAGCTGGAGCTCATTTCATCATGCAGGTATAGGAATATGCTTAGGATGTTGACTGAATGTAGTAAATACACTTGCAACAAAAACTAGTGATAATGACGTGTTTCCATCTAAGTATTTAAACTGCTTCAAATTTTGTCATTCTTAACAAATGGAGTAGTAACTTAGAAATTACTTCCCCATATTTATATTCTGTCACAAAAGACTTCTTATTCAATGCACAAAAATAAGAATTTCTCTGTATTTTCTCAGTGACTCATGACCCTAAAGTACAGCACTGGCATAATACAGGCAATCTCCTTTCCTCAAAATACTTGCAAGAATGGTGTGTTATTGCCTGTCTGTGGGTTTTTTGAACGTACATCAGTAATGCTCTGGCTCTAAGCGCAGAGGGGGAAAAGATGATAAATCAGTATTAATTCATTCTAAGTAACTGATTAAGACAAAAGCCCTGTTCTGTTTCCATTGCAGTCAACACTGAAAGTCTCATGACTTTGAATAGCTTCCTCTTACCGTTTGGGTTGTGGAAATGCTCAGAAATCCCAGCCAATGTTTTGGTTTTGTTGTGCAGAAATACATAAAACTAATATAATCTTCTTTGTTGAAAGCTATGGTTCCTTAATTTCTTCGAAGACTTTACTTAATATTTTTATATTTCTCATAATGTAGTAGTAAGTTTGTCCTTCTCCCTCTCCCCCTCCCCCAAAACAGTTAGCATGTCCATGAGTAGCATCTTTGGTATTTTGTGTTTAACTATTTCAAACCTTCATCCAAATACAGAATAACAATGAATTTTTTTTTAAAAGTTTTTCCCATATCAAACACAAATCCTTACGTTGATGCTAGTCTTGGGAATCTGCCAATGAACTATTGCTAAGTTTAACGTCCATTAATGATGGCTGCTGAAATGGGTGAGGAACTTACACATTTTCTCCTAGTTAGGAAAATATTCAAGTAGAACTGAACTAGGCAATTCCATGCATATGCTTTCTGAACACATCAGATCACTGTTTAATATGGTTTTTTTTACCTTATTATTCATATTTTTGTATTCACATGAAAAGAGTAAGACATCTAAAATATGCTTGAAATTTGTAATGTAAAATATAGCTCTTTAAACAAGAAATTAAAAGAGTGCACATGTCTGAACTTAAAATAAGAAAATATTTTTTCTTTTTCTAACTTGAATTTTCTCTGAATAATTTGCTTCCCTCCCTCCTTCTCTTCCTCCCTATTCATCTTGTCCAGGTGAAAACCACTGGAAGCAGTATGCATTTTAGTAGGATACAGTGTTGTGACTCCTCCATGTTCAAAGGATACTTGGAGTTCTTCATATTATGTGTTTGTATCTGTTGAAAGTGTTAAATATTTTTAGGCTGTATGGGTACCTATCCTGCTACTGACATCAGGTGCTTCTGCAGTAGGTGGTATATTCATGGGGAAAAAAAAATAAATGCAGCTTTTACTTCTAAACTGGGTGATACCAACTTCTCTTATACACTGAGTAGAGAAATTTGTACTTTTTTTGGTGTTGGTGCTGTTGTTGTTTGTTGTTTGGGTTTTTTTTCAAATCTATAATAACATCTATTCAATGGAATAAGTGTGATAAATATAGATATCTATGACACATACAGATGTGTGTGCATACATATATGTATCTATATCTGTCTATCTATCTATATCTCACACTACAGCCAAGGAAAAATTTACTCAAGGGGACAAATTTGCTTTAAAGGAAGTGCCACATAAAAGAGGAATTGTACGGGTCCAAAGTAACATTGGTAGAATGAAGAAATTATTGAAACTGTGACATCCCACCTTCCTTAAGCATAACTGCATTTATGTATGGTAGGATCACCAGTTCAGGCAAAACCACATCTCCTACTGTGTAGCTGGCTGTAATACGTAAGGTTAGGAATATGTTTTTTACATTAACAGCTATTAAAATGATTGACTGTTGATTGTGGTCACGCTTTTCCTTTTTCTGTAGTCTTAACTGAAAATCCATCTCCCGAGGGCTTGAAGCAGGGGCTGAGACTAGACGTTGTGTGCAAGCCTGACAAGCACATCACTGGGCTCTCAGGATGGCTCTATAAGGACTTGGATGGGGCATTTGTGAGCTTGTGCCTCTACCTCTCAGAAAAAATTCACTAGCAAAACATTATGGTGAAGTCTCCAAAGCTGTGAAATTGCTTTACTGCAACAACCTGTACCACAGTATCCAGTAGCACAGTGCAAAAATTTTCTCTAAGTAAAATTACCCTTGTTGAAATAAGTAGAAGAAACAATAGACACAACTAAAATCTGGGTAGTGTATATAAAAAACAGTATTAGTTAGGAAGAAATCAATTGGTATCAGTCAGAAAAAGGAATCTTCCTGACATTTCTTTAAATTTTCCTATAACTAAGATGGGAACTGGCTTCAGTATAAGGGAACTGCAAGAACACGTTAAGCAATGATATTTTACCTATGCCTTGTAGTGTGCTGGTGGACACAGACAGTAACATTTTCAATTCCAGGCTGAAAATTTTCAGCCAAATAAGAGGTATGTTCAGCCATTTCGTGGGAGAAGGTAAATGGGGACACAGAAGTGTTTGCAAGGGAAGCAGTTTCCCAATGTTACCTTCTCCATGCCTTCTCCTGCAGAATCTCATTCAGAGGATGAGCTCCAGCTTGGCAGCCCGGCTTGTAAGACCTGCCACACCTGGCTGGACACCAGGTCCCTCCTCCCCTGCCTGCTTTTTTCTGTGCAAGAAGGCAACGCCAGGTGCCTACGGCTGTCCTCTTTTCTTCTCTCTTTTTGGTTGGAACTGCCATCTGACCAGAGGGGTAACATGGGGAAGGCTGATCCCTTTCATGACCTCTTTGGGGCTATGATTGCCTAGCCCAAAATTGAAAAGACAGTGCTCTGCAGTGGGTCTCCTGCTTTTGGTGAAAATGGTTGACACAGTGCCATGCAACTACAGAGCAGATTAAATGACTGGCGCTATTTTGAAGCATCTTATATTTTCTATTTCCTCATCTACAAGTAGATACATATAGATTTAGGGACTATCATTTTTATTAATATCTGAATCTTCTAAGAAGACAAAAACAAGACTAAAATTATCCCTTCTTTACTGAAGTTATTAAAAAAACCCAAACCCAAACAAGCCCAACCCCATAACCTATTGGATTACATATTTTTATAGAGCTTTTGATAAATTGATACATATTATCTAAGATATGACAAGGATTCTAAAGCTTTATAAACTTGATGTTTGTAAGCTATTAGCAAACCATGATTCAGTAATGCAAAGGAAATGTCATAGCTAAAAAGGAAATAAACAACTTGCCTCCTTGGCAGAATTATCATTACCCTGGATGTACGAAAAGCCTCCATAGCTGGCTGCCTTCGCAGCAATTACTGGTGTACTTTTTTCCCCAGGATATCCCATTGTTTGCCACACTCCTTCCGCAATCTTTTTTGTAGGGCTTTTGTATGCACGAATTTTTTCTGATTAAATGTTTTGTGCAGCACTTAACAAATTCACCTTCTTACCGTGGACAATGCTACTATGCTGTAAATACCTAATGAGAATGCATCTCTGGTAGTGTAAATCTGGGGCAGACACCCTATTTTTTGTCATGCTTGCTCTGCATTGCTACTCAGTTTGATCTGACAGCAGCAGGTCTCTCACCCTGCCTTTTGTGACATGAGAAAAGGACCAACTACTTTGGGAGTTGTTTCTGCCAAAAGCCGAGGACCTGTAATCCTGCTAACATCAGGAGAGGAGAGCATGCAGCTTCTGGCAGCAGCAAGAACTACTAATTTCTGCACTGCCCAGAAATGAACTTCAAGCGTCTCAAAATTGTCATTAAAATTCAATTGTTTCTCTTCACATTTAGACATCCGCCGACGGAAAAACACCTATTGTGTAACTTCTACCCCCCTCCCTGGGGGTTGTACTGGGAGGATGGGAAGGTTGTAGCCCTAATGGTGACTAAAAAGACAAAGGCAAGAAAATGAGCTTACCTTGCTGCCCTAAAGTTAAGCAGTAATCCACATGGCACCAGTGCTGAAATACGTAATAATGTGGTCGTAGGACTTCATTGCTAAAGATTTCACATTGGTTCTGCTTCTGTGTTGGCTATATAAATATCTATAACTTGTTACTTCATTGCTTTTTCTGTATAGTATGACCAAAATATCACAGAAAACTGCACTTTCTCAATTTTTTAATTAGAAATTGAAGACTGGATTCTCAGCTAGTATAAACTGGTATGACTCCACTGATTTCATGTGAGTTGGGCTGCATATCTGTTTTCTAGTCTGTGGCTCTGACCTGGTAATTACCAAATAAGACTTCACCACACCATAACATTCACATATAGTAATGGAATTCAGAGTTTTGTCTGGGGCTACACAGTTAAATAAAAGTAAACGTCTTGGTCTGTGGAATGAGATCTTTCACTTTTCTCATAATTTTCCATAATGAACAACTGGATTAAAACTGGTGTTCTCTCCTTTCCATCAGCCTCTTGGCCATCTGCTAGATATATGCCTGCTGGTATGAGAGGATGGATGGGTTCAGTATCACGTTTCACTTAGGGGTCTAGAAATGAGCATCTTTAATGCACACCAAATGAGCTAAATTACAGGGGAGTGTTTCCAGCAGGCATTCCAGGGTTGTGAACACAGCCTGGGAATCCATGGTCCAACAGGCTTTGTCACCCTAGCTGATGCTCAGAAAGGCCTCCCTACATGCTTCTGTACACCATTTTCTACCTATATCTATCACATCTATGCAAGAGCAGCTTTTTGTATGTGCCTGGGGATGTACTGACACATTCTGAGAAGTCAGAGCACTCACTGAACTTCTCAAGCTGGGTTATTATCAGTGTGCTTCAAGCAGGGTCTAGATGGAGTTGAGGCAGTTGAGGTCCTTCAATAAGAAATTGTTTAAAATCCAATATTGACCAATTTATCGTTAAACTTAACATGCCAGGTGAAGTTCTGCAATCTCAACCTTTCTTCTTGACTGCATTAGTATCAGTACATCTGTTTTTATATGAAATACAGCAGCTGGAGAATTCGCGTTCAGGGTTTCATGTTTTCTCTCCTTCCAGTATATAAACTATTCTATGCATAGGCTTCTTCTGCTCTTCCTTTTGAAGCTCTACCATCAGCATTTCAGGATATTCAGGCAAGAGAAAAGCAGCAGAGAGCATGACTGTAGCCTCCTGTGAGAACATGGAATGATGTGGGGTCATCCTGGTTCTCTGGCTTCCAGGACTCCTTTAGCACTTATATATTAAGAATAAAATATATTAACAGGCTTTTGAGAATTCCTGAGATGTGACCTTAATCAGAGATAGAGCCTATCTGCCATTAACCATAATACCTTCTTGACAGCCACTCTTCTTCTGCAACCTTTGGCACTGAGGTCTGTTTTGGAAAGGCAAGAGGCATTTTGCAAATCTTGTAGTGAGTACCTGTATACCCAGGGATCAGGCCCATCATGTATATTTTGCACCTGTGCTTTCCCCAGTGTGTCATATGTACCTCACACATACAGCACAGCTGCTGAAGTGCAGACTTTTAATCGTTGGGTTATTTTAATATCTGTGTAGTGTGTCAAAGGGGAAAGAGCTTAAATTCTGTTTGCATTTTAAACAACTGTCTTGGCAGTTACACAATCCATAGTGTGTATGTTTTCATGGAATGCACCATTTGTGACTGATGTTGAAAGAAGAGGTACAGATATTAAATATGGCCAAGCAGGTTCTACAGTTGGTCTGGACTGGGTCGGCCTTGCACCGTGGATGGCTGTTAAGGGCATCTGGTAAAGTGCCACTAAGCACTGTACTGTTTGTCTGATACATACAGGCAATATTGAAACTTGCTGATGGCAGTTTGGCAACTTTTATGTGTATCCAGCAAGCCAAATTCTGATCCCTTAGAGTTAGTTCAAATTCCTCTGACACTAGGTTCAACTCTTGTAGGAAGCCAGATGGCAGACTAAGAGGTGAGCTTATTCTGAGCAGACTTGGATCTCATATTAGTTAAGGGCCCCACCCTAAATCCTGATCTCTGATAAATTAACTTTTTAATGTTGCACTACTCCTAGGGTACAAGCCAAATGTCTACGCAGATATTTATGTTCCAACAGCCAAATGCAAGCTCATTTTTTTCTTCTGAATTATAAGTATGTTATGTTTTACAGACATGAGTAACTCATGTGGGATCTTTCCCACAGAGTAAAACCAATGTAAATTCACATGACTCAGGGATTTGTTTCAATGCTTATGTATAAACTCTCATTAGAAATGATTATGCTTGAAGATCAAAAGAAAAGTACACTCACTTGTATTAATGTTTAATGCATAATTCACATTGTTAGAACAAAAAACAAAACAGTCAGTGGTTGTTACGACAAATATCAAACATTGGCACCACTAACCAACTCCCATAGAGGATCCTTCATTTCATTGCATTGGCTGTGCACTGCGATTTCCTCTTGCGTGTGTTGTGCCATCATCTCGGAGACTTAGACACCTTCCTCACTAGATGAGTAATTCCCCTGTAATGACAGAAGTGGGGGAGAGCCAGGACACCCCACCAGTGCAGGTGGCTCCAACACTCAGAGATCTCTCAGTGGAAGCACAGCATAAACTAATCTAATCTAATTTTTTATGCAAGAGGGATTTCAGATCAGGCACGCTCATATATGGTCTAAAACTCTAATTGCCTTCAATCTGAGTTTAGTTTGAGCCTTAATATCAGGACCATGGTCTAAGTTACCCAGCGCCACAGAATCCAAGAACTTGATTTTTTGTTTTCTGTTTATCCATGTTGTACCTTCTTTAGTCAATGTTTATTTTCTTGCAAGAATGTTTCTTACTTAAATAAACAGGTTTGGCATGATGGAGTTGCATATGTAATCTATTCTCTATATCCTCAACCAAGGCAAGCACAGGAGAGCAAAGCCATGCTCGTAATCATAAATTGAGCTCAGGAATGAGAATCCTATGTTGGCATCACTGCCTATTACACAGAGTGCTGGGTCTACTGAATTGGTGTAAGGGAAGACCTCTGGGTACCCTCTGCCTTGCCACATTACAGTCTTTCACATGAAGTAGGAGTTGGGTTTTGTTATCTTCATAGATTTTAATGGTTTTTTCCATGTCAATGTTTAAAGGTCAGCAATTTACAGGATGTGGCTTTTATATTTATGCTTCTTTCAAAAAAATTTGCTGTTTTACCAGCTGAGCTTACATAATTTCCTTCTCATATAGTTTTTGGTTTTTCATTTCCCCTACCCCCCCAAAAAAAAACCAAAAAGGAAAAAATGCTGAAAAAAAATTCAACAAACAGTTGTTTAGGAGTTTGAATTCATGTCAGAGAGTTGTCTCTCTTCCATGGAGGTCTGTGGCATGGGATGACACTGAAAGACATTTCACAAAATTTGTGATTGGCACAAAGTCACAAAAAAGGCTGTATGTACTCATTATCAATTCAGTAACTTTCCTGTGTAGCAGCAGTACATCTGATTTAGAGCAGAGTAGCTGCCTGGGTTTCAGGTAGGTTCTTCCTCGTTCAGATCTCTGTAAGCAAACTATAAATTAGCCCTCTGTTCTTAAGGTGCCTCCTGAAGACCCAGTTGTTCTGCAAAACCTTCTGTGTGAGTCTGTAAGGTTCCTTGTTCAGGAATTAATATTGCTGAGTTAGAATGGGTGCTATTGCTATGCATGGAATGCAGTCAAATGGATCATGGGTGTTTAAAAGAACAGAGGAGAGCTTTGGGATTTGTTTTCCTTTTGTTTATAACAACCCACTCAAAATATTTACAATGGAGAAGCTGATATTTTCTCCAGTAAAGAACCTAGTGTCCACTTTAAGGCAGTTGAAAAGATATTTAGAGTATATACTGGTTAAATTGTTTATTTTTAGTGGAGTACACATGGCATTGCTATCTTGCCACTGATCATAAATACATACCTGTTGTGGGGTTTTTGTCGTTGAGGAAAAAAAACCTGTAATGAATTAAATATGCTTCATGAGGAAAGAAGTAGGTCAGATGTTCGGCTAAATTAACCTCATGTTCTACAGAAAGACTAAATTCTGTTGTTTTCACCTGTGGGACTTTGGATTTGTCTACACACCAAATTATTCCAAGACACTTATTCGGTACACTGCAGTAATTACCTCCAACTAAACCCATGTGTAGACAAATCTTATGCCAGCATAAGAATTCACTTTCTTGAATTACCTTAATCCACTTTGAAGGTGGCTTAAGTGAAACTAGGAAACAACTCAGTCATTCCAGAGTGAATAAACTATCTGAACATAGTTTTGCTTTACATTCACATCCGACCTTATTCCAACATAATTTTCCTGGGCTGAGAGGCTCTGAGGATATATCTACATAGCAAATGAACGCGTGATTACAGACACACCAACCTTTCCTTTACTCTCACTGGCATGAGTAACAACAGTAATGAAAGATGGTAGCAGAGACTTCAGTACAGCCTATTAACTGGAGCATATACACGCAGCTGGTTGTGAACAGCCCCAGTTGAAATCCACCTCATTGCACCCCCACTTCAGATACAAGTCACGTCCCTTAGACTAATACTGGGGCTGGGAATGCCTCTCTGCATCTCTGGTGTGTACGCACACCAGAAACTGCATATGCTGTAGGACCGCACAGCTGAGCTAAATGGAAAACAGGTGAATTTAACTTCAGAGGTTAATCACATTCGAGAAGAAGCATGGCTCACACATTTTTAATATACACACCTTTGACAACCAAATAAAGTGTCAGCTGTGTGACTGCAGAAGCCAAATTAAATGTGCTGTACACAAGCACAACTCGGATGATTTCACTAGGGCTGAATTTGGCTCCACAGTTGAGAACTTGCTTATTTGACTGATACTTGTTTTGCTACCTATCTGCTCATTTATTTTAATGAAATTAATGCATTTTAATGTTCCTTTAAGTGCATTCCAAAAATAGCAATTTGATTAACTAATTTGCTTTTAGAAGTGTAACAATCACAACGAAAAATCTCTCTGTTAGCTGAGGTATGGCGTAATTGTAAGGAGCATGTTGGGTAGCTATGCCATACCCTTCATCCTTTCAAACAAATTCCCCACATCAATCAGAAGAGCCTCACTTAAAAATGAATGGCGAAATACAGACAACAATCAAGCTGTACACACTGCTTTTCAAGTCTATCAAAAACATGTATCAGTAATGTACTCTGTACTCTGCTGAGACAGTAAAGACAGGCAAGAATTTAGCCTAAAAGCAGTTTAAACCAATTCCAAAACAGAAACGTGAAACAAACTTGTCTTTCTAGCCAAGCCAGAAAGCATCTTGAGTAGCTTGGGTTTAAAAAAAAAAAAAAAAAGGTGCTTTCAATTTCAGACTCTTTAAAATGGTGTTTGAATGGTACAATACTCCAAAAAGGATTTCTTTTTTCCCCAACTCTTTTTCCATCTGCAATAGGGATCTCACCATTTAAAATATGCTGTGGCTGAGAGCACAAAGCCCAGTAACAAAAAAGGTGTACACTAACTTCTCCCTGACTTTATCTCCCTATAAAAACTGGAATTGCAAAACCTGATTAGTAACAATATTAAGTGAAGGTAATTTTCCCTTTTATTGTATTTAAATGAGGAAAATTAAAGTATTAATGCTAATATTAAGGCTGAACAGAGGCAGTTGCAAAAATAATTTAGTTTCAGCCCTTCTACATGCACCCATTCACAAACTCCACTGCGCTGGTTACCTGGGCATTGGCAATGTTGTAACTTGTTATTATAGTAGGTGGTGTGAAAAGCAACACATAAGTGGGAAACTTGTCTCAGGGCTCTGCTGGAACGATCTGCGGTCACAGAGTGGGTGGTGTGGTGTTGCAGCAGTTTGGGATGTTAACAGTGTGCAGGTAACAACTGGTCTTTGGTTGAAGAGGAACTTACACTCAGGCAACCATGGGTAGTTTAGGCGAGGCCTAGTCCTGGAAATACTTTTGCACGCGAGTTAAATCCCACATGTAAAAAGGTCCTAGGAATTTAGGGGTACTGCTCATGGAGTCTTACAGGATTTGGCTTTGAGAAGCGCACGAATCCAGGGCAGGGGATGCGTGTGGCTGCCAGTCCCTGCCATGGCTGGGGACACCGCTGACATCCAGCCCTGTGGCCACACCGGCCCCTGGGCTGCCGCAGGCTCCAGCTCGCTCTGGTTTAACGCAAACCCTCCTGCCTTGGGGAGTAGCTGCTGGGCAGCCCCAGCAGCAGAGGTGGGAGCGATGGCTCAGGAGCCCCTCACTGAACCCTGCCAGGGTCTGCGCCAGCCCCTGGCTCTCCTCGGCAGCGACGCCATTGCGCCAGCCGGTTCCCGAACCGCCCGGGCTGCCCCGGCCCCGCAGCGCCGCCGGGGCACCCCGGCCCTCACCCGGGGCCGCGGGGCGCTGTGCGCCGGGGGCTCCCCCGCCTTCCCCTGCAAAGCCTTGCAGGGGAGTGGGGGGGAGGCGCGGCGCCGGGCCTGCACGGCAGCAGCGGTGCGGCATCCTCGCTCCTCGCCCGGCCTCCTCTGGCATTCCGGGTGCTTTTCTTTTTTTTGTCTTTTTTTTTTTTTTTTTAAACCCAAGCTACTCA